AATGAATCTATTTATGGAAATAGTAGGATTTCTTTTATAAGGTAGTATATATATATATATATATATATATATATATATATATATATATATATATATATAAGTATTACGCTATTGATTCCAATAACTATAAAAAATCATCTTACAAAATTCTTAATATATTTATTTGAAAAAATTATTGTGCTATTCAAAAATATATTTAGTTCTACTAGGATTTTCGAAGAATGTAATTTTAAAATTCTGGTTTCTGACATAAAGGTGCTTCAAAAATCAGAATTTGTGAAGTTGAGTTGAAATTTGTGAACAAGGTTTGAAAATAAGGTTTTTCAAAAACGACTAATTTTCTAGGGTTATTTTTAAAAAGTTATATCATATAATTTTTGAGGTTATTTTCTAGCGCAAAATAACCTCAAAAATAGCTTTATCATATGATTTTAGTATTTGTTTCTGAAATTTCGAACTCACTAAGATTTCCAAGAATCTATTTTTAAAAAGTTATAAAGAAATGTAATTGAAATGCTATAAGAATTACATATGAAGTAAATTATAAAGACATATAAGTGCAATGCCATACATTTGTCAATGATTTAATTTTTTTAATCTTCCTTCCAAAGGACATATGGTCAAGTGTCAACTGTTTCCCTTCTTCTTTTGACAATACATCATATCTATCGCGGAGATCCTTATTTCTTCCAACATTGTTAAAATGGGCATCACAACACTTATCCTCTTCAAAACAAGCCTTACACCATGTTTTTAGCTATTTTCTGACAAATGATCATAAGCAGTTGTCTCTGTCAACCTAATTTGCTTCATTGTAGCTTCAAATCCTTATGTAGTTATGGCCATGTGGTTGTCCTAAAAAACTTCCTATATTAAGCATTTGCAAACCTTTTCTTGAAGTTGGCATAGATGTGCATAACACATTGTATATGCTCACATCCCAGTTCTCTTTCAGTAATTGCCTTAACTAGATCCTTCATACAATTAGTAGATTAAAAAAGTTAGTATATTATAACAATTAACAATTAGTAGATTAGGGTTAGAACACACTTTATGTTGGTATGAAGTTAGGGTTAGCTCATTTCCATTTCCCATCTAAATGTATTCAAGTAAGAGGTCTAAAGTCCGCTTCCACGTTTGCTTATTTTCAATTGCTACTATATCCCAAGTAAGAGGGTACACCTGGTTGTTAAAGTCCCTTCCAACTGCTGAGAAGTTCATATCTACCAATGCCCTTCCAAAAAAGCCATTTATACCAATAACTCAACTATAACCGTCAATCCAACCATCATTTACACCCTTTAGACAAATATATATATTTGAAATCACATATAATACATTCATTTATTGGAGTTATTGATCCTGAATTAGACCTTAAAATATCTTCACCATAACTACTTTATTTTTCATAATGTGAATTCAAACTACTTTAATCTAATTTGGTGAATATTTCTTTGCATTTCTACAATGTATAACATTAACATTAATGTTGAATTTCTTTGCAACTTTAGATTATATTTTTCTATAACTCATATTGGGGTTTTCCAAAATGTCACTAATAAATTGTTTTTATTCATGAATATGTGACAACTGACCCAAAATTGAAAATTCTGGTAAAATTATGTTCTTCGGTTAAAGACATATTGGGGCGTGTTTAACACGGAGCTTTTGGAAGCGTTTGGAAACTTCTAGTTTCTAGCTTTTGACAAAACACTCTAGATTTAAACAAAAAACTTCGTTTGGCGGTACGAGCGTTTAGCTTTTAGTTTAAACAAAACACTTCAAATCTAAAAGATATTTCATATAACGTTTAACAGAACGTTACTGGACATTTGAAATCAATTTCCATAATTGTCCTTAAAAATATATTTATATATTTATTTATTTTTAAACAATTATCCTTTATGTAATTTTATATATTTCAAAAGTTTCTAGTTATTTTTGTCAAACATTCATATAACAAATAAAAACTACAACTTCCAGCTTAAACATGTCCTTCCTTACTCATCCATGTTGCCGATAATCTAAAAATACATGAAGCATTTTCTAATTAGCAATCTAGTTGAATATTTTTTATATAAAATAAAATAAAATAGTGTTTATATGTAATACGTACAAAAAATTAAATTTAATGATATTCTTTTTATAATAAAATAAAATTTGTTATCATCTTAAATTCTTCTTCGGTTTCTTTATGGTCATTAGGGTCAATATGTCGTGTTTTATACATGCAATCGTGAAATTGAGTCAACAAAATTTAAATAAAATGGTAACGAAAACATAAATTTGATTCGTTACCATTTCCGAATGTTCGATTTTTTCGAGGTTTGATTCTTTGGGGATATTTTGTCCGTGGCTTCAATTCAAATTCTGGTTGCAGATCATTTAAAGAGGTCCGCACCGAAGAGGCGCGAGTTGGCGTGTTGGTCCCACGCTCACAACTCATTTTCGGTATACCCGCAGCCCAAGGCCAACCATTGCAGATAAGCAACCACCTTCCTATCCGACACTTGTCAATCATATAGTATTTCAATATAATTTCATCCCATTGTAGCATCCCTATAGTAAGTTTTGTGATTTTGAGAATCGAAGAATTGGTGCCGATTCCATAAAGATCGCACCTTTTAAATCATACCCACCAACTGTTTGATCGAAGGATCCACTGAAGCCGCCAAATTTTAAAAAGAATGACAACTGCTTCTTTGAGTTCCACAACCCTCGTTCAATCACAGATTAGTGGGTTTGGCAAGCTTCTAAAACCCTCCGTCTTTCAACCCACTTACACAAGGTAAAAACCCCTTTTCTTGATTTTGAATTTTGATGAACCTTTTGGGACTTTCTCACCGAATTATCAAGAGTTGACCATGTATATTTTCTTGGATTTCGAAGGAGGCTCTTGGGTTTACTTAGATAGCCCTTTTTGCATCTTATTATGACTATCTGCCACAATATAGTGTGCTGAATTTCCAAATTTGTGAATCTAGGAGAGCGATTAGAACTGTTGTGAAGGCTTCTCGGGTTGATAAATTTTCAAAGAGCGATATCATTGTTTCTCCATCGATTCTCTCTGCAAACTTCGCCAAGTTGGGAGAACAGGTATTACTCTTCCTGTATTGATCTTGTTGGCCCCACATAAGTTCATGCATCTATTTCAGACCTAAATATAAACGATGATTTATGGTGTCTTTGTGTGTATAGGTGAAAGCCATAGATGCGGCAGGTTGTGATTGGATTCATGTTGATGTAATGGATGGCCGTTTTGTTCCTAATATAACAATTGGACCTCTTGTTGTGGACGCATTGAGGCCAGTGACAGATCTCCCATTGGACGTTCATCTGGTATTTCTCATCTATATTCTTGAACCTTTTATTTCTAAATGGTCAAGCGTTGGAGTCTTAAAGACACAGTGTAAGAAAGAGTTTAGGGTTTAGGCCACTATATACTAGGTACCTGCATTTACATATCAGATGATGTTCCTAGGGTAGTGTGGGCCAACTACTCAAAGGTTGCTGGAAGAAGAATTTTTTTGCAGACATTTTTTAGTTTTAGTAAATTATGTTAGATGGAATTTTATGGTAATGAGGAATTGAAATGTGGCAGATGATTGTTGAACCTGAGCAACGAGTGCCCGACTTTATAAAAGCTGGAGCAGATATTGTCAGTGTCCATTGCGAGCAATCTTCCACTATCCATTTACACCGAACAGTTAATCAAGTAAGATTTCCCATGTCTAATATTTAACAAGTTTTTTCATGTCAATTGATCACTTTTTTTAATTTATAAATATTCTTTTTCATTCAGATCAAGAGTCTCGGAGCCAAAGCTGGAGTCGTTCTGAACCCCGGGACACCATTATCCACCATAGAATATGTTCTTGATGGTAAGTTGTTTGTTTCTCTTGTGAAGGCTATTTTAGACATTTGGTTAATAGTCAAACATTGCAATTTTAATGTGTTGGAATGTTGTGATTCAACAGTGGTGGATTTGGTTTTGATCATGTCTGTAAATCCTGGATTCGGTGGTCAAAGTTTCATTGAGAGTCAAGTAAAGAAGATCTCAGACTTGAGGAGAATGTGTGTGGAGAAGGTATGGTGTTCTTGTTATTATGTTAAAAGACCTTTTATTTGTTACATAATTACAACAATGCCATTGTTTGTTTTGCCTAACAGGGTGTGAATCCATGGATCGAAGTAGATGGTGGAGTTACTCCCCTCAATGCATACAAGGTATATCACATTAATGACCACATTGCCCTTTCACTTTCATTAAGGCCCATGTTTGTACATGATGATAGAACATAACACGTTTTATATGTACTTGCAGGTTATTGAGGCTGGGGCCAATGCTTTGGTTGCTGGTTCTGCTGTTTTTGGAGCTAAAGATTACGCTGCAGGTAACTGGAAACTTATAGGGGTATTTTGGTCTTTTAAACAAAAAAATGCAGATCTTTCTTATTCATGTGTCTTACCATTTTTCTTAATGTGATCTGATATCTGTATAACAGCAATCAAAGGTATCAAAACCAGCACAAGACCTGTAGCAGTTCCTGCATAAAAAACTTGTCAACTTCAGATGTGATTTCAGCACTCGTTATCTCTGTAAGAAGTTCCTTTACTTGATCGACTTAATTAGGACATGATTTAATTGAATAAGTTATACATAAGTATTTCTTTTTTGACTTAATTCAGAAAGAAGAAGTATCTATTTTACATATGTGTCAGTAATGAATTCTCTTTGCATCTGCAGACATGAGGAATTCCATGGCAAATATTGTGTTGGTTCTTGGTGTTGTAACATTCATCATTTGCTGAAGGATGTACAAATAGGGCCCATCCATAAGCAGACAGAAGGTGCCTTTGTAGCATTGTCTTGATATAGAAGCGTAAATAAGTTTTGTTTCATTGTAATGAATAATAATACAGTATTGTTGGAAATTTATCATTTCAAAATGGCACAAAATATAGGGCCCTAAAATATAATGAATAATATAGTATTGTTGGGTAGATTTCTCAAAGTATAATACCTTCGTAAAAAAAAACATTGAAAATAAATTGGAATAAGAAAAATAAAAGTAGAGTACTATTATAAACAAAGAAATAAAAAGTATATTGTCATATCTTTACATGTACCCCTTCAAAGATCAAAAGTGCATCCATAAGAAGCTCTCATATTCCCAAACAAACTCTGAATAACCTCATAAATCTTGCAACCAAATGGATGATCAGAATCTGCAGCCACAAACTCATGAATTTCACTCCCCACCTCAATCAAACTACACCCTGGAACTCTCTTATCAACACAATTCCTACTCATCTCCTTCTTCTCCCATATCCCTCTTGAAGCGTACATATTCCCCATTAAAACATCATCACCACCCCAATTCTCCTCAAACTCACCCAATCGCCACCTCACCTCTTCACCAAGATCAACATCCCCATGAACACTACACGCACCAAGCAAAGTCCGCCACATCACCGCATTCGGTCTCACTCTCTCAGGCATCTCCAAAATGAAATCTTTAGCTTCTTGTAAGCATCCTGCTCTACATAAAAGATCAACCATACAGCCAAAATGGGAAACTTTAGGTTTTAATCCATATTCCTCACTCATAATCTTGAAATAGTGCTTTCCTTCATCCACCATGGCTACATGACTACACGCCATTAGAACCCCAATGAAGGTAACATCATTAGGCACGATTTTGGAATCTGTCATGGCTTTGAAAAGGGCAAGGGATTCTTTGGCTTGACCATGGATTGCGTGTCCTGTAATCATGGAAGTCCAGGTTGTGACATTTTTGTGTTTGATGGTGTTAAATAACATTTTAGCACTTTTGATGTCTCCACATTTCGTGTACATGTTCAAGAGTGCATTGTATAAAGTTAAGTCTTTGTTGAGATTTTTGCTTCTTCGGATGAAGTTATGAATCCATTTACCAATGCCCAATGCACCAAGATCAGCACATGCAGAGAGAGCAACCACGAGGGTGACTTCATCAGGCTCAAAATTGTCCGTCTGCATCTCCCTGAACAGTTTGAGAGCAGTGTTTGGTTTTTGGTTGTCAACATAGGCGGATATCAACGCTGTCCAACAAACAAGATTCTTTGTGGGTATTTCGTCGAACACCTGGCGTGCATCCGCTAGATTAGCGACTGCGGAGTAGTAATTGATCAGTGATGTCTGTACGAAGATGATGGAATTGTAACTGAGTTTCACGATAAGAGTATGAAATTGTCGGGCTTCGTATGGTGAAGACTTTCGTGTGCAAACCTTGACGATGTACAATAGAGAGTAGCTATCAATGGATGAAATGCTTTTTCTGATCAAATCACGAAGGAAAAGTATGGCTTTAGTTGTAGCGTTGGCCTTTAGATACTCTTTAAGCACTTCATTGGGTCTTGACCTGGTTTGGCCATGGCTATGGATTTGAGAAGGTTTGGTGAGTGAGAATTTGGGAAAAACTCTATGGAAATGGATTAGGGATGAAGGTTTTAAGAATCTCATTAGTGGTGAAAATTATAAAAGAAAAACATAGCTCTTGGCTCTTGCGATGATTTGACTCGATCAGTATCTGTCTGTTATACACAGAATTTATAGTTTTAATAGAGATTTAAATTGTCACATAGCTTGAAGTTCAACTTAAGTTCTTCGTTTCCGCAAATGGTTTTTGAGGTTTCTTAACAACTCAAACCCAGGTTCTTTGTTTCCAAAAATGGTTTCGGCAGGTTAAAGATTGGATATTTATGAAGACAAAATTGCAAAAATGTATTTTCTTAAAACCTAATTTTTTTTTTTTGTTTCATGGTCCTTTTAAGCTAGTTTTGTTGAATAGTGAAATGAATCTAATAGTCTTTGCGTATTTATTTTTCATTTTTCTTTTATTTCTTCTTAAATCTAATATTAATTTATTTATTTTAATAATTAAAATAATAAGAAGGGGCCCACCTTCTTTTTCTCTCACTCATTCACTCACTCACTTTATCTCTCTCTCGTCAGTAATGAAGAGTAAAAAAAAACCCTACCCTCATCTTCTTCAAAAGAAGACGATCAACAGTGGCTTTCTTACTGGATCTTATACTCCTTCCTTACTCTCGTGGAGATGCTTCATGCATCCGTCCTTGAATGGTGACTACTGGAATAAAACACAACCATTTTATTTCAAGATTTGATCATCGTGATTTCTAGAAACTAATGGTTAGCAGATACCGATATGGTATGATGTGAAATTGATAGCGGTGGTGTGGCTAGTGTTGCCACAGTTCAGAGGAGTTGCTTTCATCTCCAATAAATTTGTGAAGGAGAAGGTGATTAAGAGATATTACCCTAGGATTAGAGGAGGAGAATGATGGGTTTTGAGCATAACAACATCCTATGTGATTATGCAACCTTAATTGCTTTAGATCTAAGTTTTTCTCTAGTTATACATACAAATAGAAATTCCAAAGCAACAACCCTAATACTAGCATACAATTCGAAATCTATATGAAAACTAGGGTTAGAAGATTACCTTGCTTGCTATCTAATAATAACAAGAATTCCTTGTTTGATCTTGACTTCTGAAAGCTTAATGCCTCAAGTGTTGCACCTCTAATGGAGTCACAAACACCAATAGCAAAGGATGAATGAGAAGAGAGGGAGAAATTCGGCTAAGGTTTCTCTAAGAATGCATCGGTCGAAAATGCTTAGCCAGGGGGTCCTGAAATAACTGTGGTTGTTAGGGTTTTCAGGTGGAAACCCTAATTTTTTCCTTAGGCCCTAAGCAACCCATGGACACTCCTTCTAGAAGGCATTGGACGAAATTCTATATGGCCTCCTATAGATTTTGTCCACTCCCTTCTAAAGGAGTCCATCAGCCCAACATTGCAACTATCAATGATTTGCAATATCAGTCCCTGTTCTTTTAATCAGTTCCTTAAATCCTAAAATTAATATCAAATTAATTTCTGATTAAATAATAATTAAATAATATGATTTCTAATTAATATATTATTCTTATAATATATTAATAAATCATTTATTAACCTCTTTCTCCAAAAGTCATCATGTCGAGTTGTTATGGTAAAGGCAGCCTAAAAGGACCATGCTACTATCAAATCAAGTGCATAGCAATTATAGTTATGGGCTAAGACACCTAATCCAAAAGTCTCCCACTTGGATAAGTCTAATAACTAAAATTGCAAGTATGACTTCAGAATACGATTAGCAATCGTAGCTCTCAAAAGCCGTTGTCGAACTCTGACCTAGTCAATGACGCGTCCTTTAGATAAGGGATCATACAATCCTCCGTTCTGGAAGATATCATGTGGACAAAGACATGGAACAGAATCATCCTCAATGTCCAACAATTTGTTTCCCGATTTCTGATTTGTTTGACAACGAACTTAATTGAACACATCAATTCAGTCCTGACCGGGCCCGACACATAAGTCAACAAACACAAAATCATCGAGGGGCCCAATATATCGCTTTTACCCCTTGGGATAAAAGGAACAGATAAACTTGGACTTATATGCTTGTACTATTTACTTATCAAATCATACACAACAATACGTTTTATAACATCAAGTTACTAATGCGTTTACGCATTATCAATGCACAACCAACTTGTAAACAACAACTCATATATCTCGGTTTAAAGATTATACGATATTATCGTCTCACAATTACTCGTGATAAATTCCATGAAGTAATTCAAATGAGCGTGGGTTTAATCCAATACTCAAATCCTATTTCAGGAGTACTCATGAACATTGCAGCAAACTTTTGCTATGTCTAAACATTTAGACAATCTACAAGCCAATTCATGATAGTCTTAATTCATTACTTACTTCCAAAGTATGATCGACTGTGGATAGTTCGAACAATCCTATTATTCAGGAAGTAAAACATGCAAAAGTGAAACACAAAATAAACAACTGACAAAAGATAGTAACTTTACTCATAAATAAATCTTCAATTACTTAATCATCAAATGTCAATTACATTTATATTGTTACAAGTTTCTAACTATCTATCTAATCACTAAAACTAATATCGTCCTTTAGACCAATGCTCCTTGCATGTTGAACGTGCTTAATCCTACTCAGACCCTTTGTGAGGGGATCTGCAGGATTCTCTTCTGATGATACCCTCCTGACGACGAGGAGTCCTTCTTTTACCCGATGTCTGATGAAGTGGTATTTTCTGTCGATGTGTCTGGATCTACCATGATCCCTTGGTTCCTTGGTTAAGGCAACCGCTCCTTCATTATCGCATAAAATCTCCATGAGCACCTTTATGGCTGGTACAACTCCAAGGTCTCCAATGAATTTATTCAACCATATAGCCTCCTTTGACGCTTCGCTCGCTGCTACGTACTCTAATTCGCACGTTGAATCAGCCACGGTCTCCTGCTTAGAACTATTCCAAGTCAATGCTCCTCCATTTAGGGTAAACACCCAGCCCGACTGAGAGCGGAAGTTATCTCTGTCGGTCTGAAAACTGGCGTCACTATACCCTGTCACTCTCAAGTCATCACTGCCACCAAGCACAAGGACCTAGTCCTTAGTCCTTCGCAGATACTTAAGAATGTTCTTAACTGCTATCCAGTGAGCTTTACCCGGGTTCCCTTGATATCGACTAACCATGCTCAACGCAAAAGCCACATGGGGTGAGTACATGTCATAGCATACATGATCGAGCCAACGGCGGAAGCATATGACACTCGACTCATTTTCGCTATCTCTGCATCGGTACTCGGACTCTGAGTCTTACTCAGTTTGGTATTGCTCTGGATAAGTAACTCCCCTTTCTTGGAATTCTCCATGCTAAAACGTTTTAGTACTTTGTCCAAGTAAGTACTTTGACTAAGTCCAATTAGTCTTTTACTCCTATTTCTCAAGATCCTTATTCCAAGAATATAGGCAGCATTCTCCTAGATCCTTCATAGCAAAACACTTCCCAAGCCAGGACTAAACCTCCTGCAAGGTTGGAACGTCGTTTCCTATGAGTAGTATGTCATTAACATAAAATACTAGAAAGTTAACTATACTCCCACTAGCTTTGACATACACATAGGACTCATCCTCACTCCTAGAGAAACCAAACTCTTTGAATTTCTCATCGAAGCAAAGATTCCATCTGCGAGACGCTTGCTTTAATCCATAGATGGATTTCTCAAGATTGCACACTCTATTGTGGTATTTAGCATCCACAAAACCCTCTGGCTGACACATGTAAACATCTTCAGCCAGATTTCCATTAAGGAAAGCGGTTTTGACATCCATCTGCCATATTTCATAATCATGAAATGCAGCGATGGCTAACATAACCCTAATAGACTTGATCTTAGCCACTGGTGAGAAAATCTCATCATAGTCAACCCCTGGGGTTTGAGTAAAGCCCTTCGCAACCAGTCGTGCCTTGAACGTGAGTACCTTTCTATCCATGTCAGTCCTCTTCTTGAAGATCCATTTGCACCCATGTAACACCCGTTCCTCGAGGTATTATTTTAAATTATATAAGTTAATAATTGTTTTGGACTAACACTTGGATATTGGACCCATTTGAGTGGATTTAGAAAATGGGCCGAGTTGATGGGTTGCCCATAAGCCGTACGCGGGGCGTAGTGGCCATTGGATTCGAGGGACGTGGGTGCGTACGCGCAGCGTACCAAGAGGTACGCCCAGCGTACGCGGGCATATGACAAACCCTAATTTTTAGGGTTTAGGACCTATAAATACATCATTATAGCCTCCCCTTTTGGCCTCCTCACCTGTCCATCACCCTTAGAGAAACCCTAACTCGTTCATACTCTTCCTTATGTGTGTGTTTGACATTTTGAGCTTATTTTGGCAAAGAAGGGCTTGGAAGAAGAAAGGAAAGGTTGGAGAAGAAGCCCTTGAGGACCTGGAGCTCAAGGATCTGGAACAAGCTCACCATTTGGCACCAATAGGAGGTATAAAGCTCCTATCTTTCCTTCTAGAATCATAGATCTAGGGTTTTGAAGATTTGGACCTTTTTAGGTCCAAAGTTTGGATCTTGGCCATGCAACTTCGATTTTGAGATTAGGGTTGCCACCCTTGAAGCTCAATGGGTTCATTTAGCTGTAAAGTTGCAAAATTTGAGACTTTTATGAAGCCACACAAGAGATCTAGCCAATTTCATGGAAGTTCATTGTCATTTTTAGTGTTGGGCTCACTTGGTGGGTTGCAAGCCACCAAGTGATCAACTTTAAGGGTTAGGACGAAGCATGAGACTCATATCTGTAGTTTGGACGCATGTATGAAGGGATTAAGTAGTTTTTGGAAAGAATTGCTTAACAGGAGAGTACGTTGGGCATACACGCCAGTACGCGCAGCGTACAAGCCTTTTCAGCAGTACGCGCAGCGTACATAGAGGTACGCCCAGCGTACGCTCAGACAGTGGACTTTTGTTACTAGGCTTTTGATATTGCCATATTTATACATATTTTAGGCAATATTTATTTACATTTTTACTAATAATTTGGTTATTTGCATAGAATA